CACACACACACACACACACACACACACACACACACACACATATATATATATATTAATATATATATATATATATATATATATATATATATATATATATATAATATATATATATATATATATATATATATATATATATATATATATACAGTATAGTAATGTGTGTATGTGTGGAGGTACGTGTGCACACATGCAAACACACACATATATATATGTGTATACATATATATATATATATATATATATATATATATATATATATATATATATATATATATATATATATGTATATATATATATATATATATATATATATATATATATATATATATATATATATATATATATATATATATATATATATATATATATATATATATATATAATATTATATATATGTAATATATGTATATGTGTGTGTCTGTGTGTGTGCGTATACACATAGTATAAATACACACACACACACACACACACACACATATATATATATATATATATATATATATATATATATATATATATATATATAATATATATATATATATAGAACGCGCGCCTTATTTGTCTGTAAGTTAATTACCATTTTCATTATCATTATACTTCTATTCTTTTACATCTTCGTCTTGTTGGTTCGAATTCCCCTTTCATCTATTTCTTTGTCTATCGTTTATTGTTTTATTATCATTGTTACCATCATCCTGTTAGTTTTTATCACTATTATCATTATCCGTTCTCCCCCATTCGCTTGTTCCTTTTATTCATATTCCTTCGCACTTTTTTTTCACACATCCTTCCTTCTTCAACCAAACCACTTCCTTTGCGATTACTTTTTTTTCATTTTTCCTAATTTCTTTGCCATGAACACTATCCTTCCTATCATTTTTTTTCTTATCCTTTTCTTAAACCTCTTCCTTCATTCCCTTACCGAATAGCCATCCTCTTCTTTCTTTCTTCCTTAATTTCTTCCTTTTTACTTCCTACCTTCCTTCCTTTTTTTCTCTCTTTCTTTCTTTCTTTTCTGAGATTGAAAATGCACCTGAATGGTTGTTGGCCATAACAAAATATTCGTCATTATTATCATTTGGGTATTGTCACCAATTTGTCAACCTAGTGGCAGTTTTCACCAACCTATCACGTGCATCTTCGTCAAGTGAAAGTAATGATATTGATTATCACTATCATTATGCTAGTAGTAGTAGTAGTAGTAGTAGTAATGATAATGATCATAGTGAGGAAAGCGATATTGATAATGATGAGTTATATCCATAATGGTAATGATGATTACACTGATAATGATGACGGTTATATCCATGATGGTAATGATGATTACACTGATAATGATGGTGATGATAATAATAAAAGATTGTGATGATAATAACCACAACAATGATACCAATAATAACGATAATGATAATAACAACGACAGTCTTAATAATAGAAATAACAATAATAACTAGAAGCACTCAGAGACATAAATCTCAAAGAAAGAAAGAAAGAGATAACTAAAATATTTTATTTTATTTTAAGGAGAACGAAATAAATGAAAAGCGAAAGGACGAAAGGAAAGTAAACAAAACCTGCTTCGTCTCCAGGATTCGCCACAGGAATAAAGGACACGATGCGAACGGCAGGAGGCGACCGTCACGATGCGATGGTTCCTTGGGCGTGGCGAGGTCAGCTGCCTCTCCCACGCCCCAGGCAGTGCCTTTGCCTCCCGCTGCTGCTCCTCCTCCTTATATTGGGAAGTGGAATTACTCCTAAGTGTCACTGGGTCAACATGCAGCTGATTTGTCATTTGTTGTAATGATGTTTATGTACGTGTTGCGTTTGTACTTTATTTATTTGTTTTCATTTATTTGTTTATATTGATTATCTTTATTTGTACTTTATTTATTTGTTTCAGTTGATTGTCTTTATATGCATTTTATTTATTTGTCTCAATTGATTGTCTTTATTTGTACCTTATTTGTTTCAATTGTTTTTTTTATTTGTACTTTATTTCTTTCTTTCAATTGATTGTCCTTATTTGTTTGTTTGTTTATTTATTTATTAATTATTTTATATTTGTGTGTATGTGTGTGACCCAATTCATGATATGTGAACGCAGACAAGAACCTTTGTGAAAAATAATACCCCAGAGTTTTTCCTTTTCATCTAACATTGAATGTTTTAAAAAGATTTTCCATCGTCTTTGGTCTCACTAATGCTGTAAACATACTAAGGAGTAAGTATATAGATCAACACAAAATCAAAAGCAATATTTACCGTCTATCATTTAACGATATCAGCGCATTTTATTCTCAAGTCATCAGTACACTTATGTATATTCACTGAACGATGGGTATAGTATAGGTTCAAATGTTCGACTACAAGATATCAGTATATTTTTTGACTATGATAATCATTCAAATTAGTTAATCATAAAGTAATATTATAACGATAATGATAATGCCGATAGGGATAGTGAATGTTATAAGGACAATATCGAACATAATAGTGAATTAATAACATTAAACGTAGTAATAGATACCGAAAATAGAATAGACTATTGACAATAACGTCATTAGTATAGCGATAACGATAATAATCATGTTCATACTGATTGTAAAGGGAAAATAATGATAATGACATTGATAATAGTAGTAACAGGGTGGATAATAATCATAAAGTAATACTAATAATGATAACAAATGCCATTAATAATCATAAAACTGATGTTTAATGATAGTCGAAAAGATAATAATGAAAAGAGCAGAGGTTTCTTTCAGAGCTAACACTATCCTATTTCCAAGGGAATTAGTATGTGTGTGTGTGATTAGGGTACAAATCCACAATTATCGCCGTTTATATATATATATATATATATATATATATATATATATATATATATATATATAATATATATATATATATATATATATATATATATATATATATATGAACAGGCCCCTGGCCAATCACTGTATTTTCCTATCCGGGAACTTCGTCCTCGGTCTCCCGCCAAATAGCTTATTTCCTGTGTTTGAAAAAAGAAAAAAAAAGTGTACGCTTTTTTAAGAGTGGTAATGACTGGTCATGACAACTGGATATGTACGAGGTGGCTCTGATTAGTTAAGAACCATTCCAATCGTAAACTGGGGAATCAGGTTTTAAAAATAAGTAAGGCTAAACTTTAGAAAAAAAAAGTGGAAGTAAACCGAGAAAAGAAAATCGAGAGGAGTCCCGCAGGCGATTGGCGGGAAAACCTTTCTGTATTTCTTCCCTGTGGCTAGGCTTGGGCACTGCCATTCCTGGTCGAAAACCCACATGACTACAATCTTGTCATACTGTCAAGAGTTGCATCTTTACGACTTTCTATCAAGACGAATATATGTGTATATATATATATATATATATATATATATATATATATATATATATATATATATATATATATATATATATATACGTATATGTGTGTGTTATATATATATATAATATATATATATATATATATATATATAATATATATATATATATATATATATATATATATATATATACGCATGTATGCGTGTGTTTGTATATATATATATATATATATATATATATATATATATATATAATATATATATATATTATACATATACATATAATGTCATAAAAATATATGTGCGTGTACACACATATGTGTGTGTAAGATACGATATATATATATATATATATATATATATATATATAATATATATATATATATATATATATATATATATATAATATATATATATATATATATATATATATATATATATATATATATATATATATATATATATATATATATATCATACATATACATATAATGTCATAAAAATATATGTGCGTGTACACACATATGTGTGTGTAAGATACGATATATATATATATATATATATATATATATATATATATATATATATATATATATATATATATATATATATATATATGTATGTATGTATGTATGTATGTATATACATATATAAAAGTGTATATATAATAGATATAAATTATATTTATATAATATGTGTGTGTGTGTGTGTGTGTCTATGTCTGTTATACACTTTGGACTGCGGCCTATGATCCAATAAGGGCAACATCCCAGTTTCACTCGCGCTTGACCTTGAATTGCACTACGTTTTACCCTAACTTTAGTTGTTTTTTTCATTAATGACATCACGAACCATTGACAGTCAATGACCTAATTAAATATGATAAACAGTTTCAATATCTGTTTCCTCTCTGCTGAAGCACCTTAAAATATTTGCCGAGGTTGTACTCTGGCTGGATGTCCTCAGTATGTTAATTGATAATGTAATGGTAACATTCCGAATTAGTTTGAATCCATATATGCAAATTTTTAAGAACCAAAAATAATTGCGTTATTCTCTACAAAGACTCAAAATTCTTAATGGAAATGAAAAAAATGAATTAGATTGATTTATCAGCAACTAACGCCATTCGCGAATGAGTTGTTGACGCGCCAGTATATTGAACAAATAATCTCTAGTTCATTTACCTTTGTTTACCTTTTCAATTTGTTCTTAAAATTGCTTACCCATTGTTTTTCTGTACCGTATTGCTTTTTTTGTCTTATACATATCACTTCTGCTTTTGTTGTTTTTAGTCTTTCAGGTTTTATTTTTTTCTCTCTATCTATTTCATTGATTTTGGTGCTATTTTCAACTATTGCTTATCAGACATGTAATATAATGTTTATTTCTGTCTTTATTGTTTTATTATTCTTGCAGTCTTACTGTTTCGATTTAATGCGTTCCTCTGTTGTTATTCTTTTGCTTTTATCGCCCTTTCTCATATTATTATCTCGTCTTAAGTTTTCTACTAAGATATCAGAATTCTTTTTCGTATTTTTTGTTTTCTATTTTTGTCACTGGCACTTGATTCTGTATGTGTTATTCTTTCGTATTTTTAACCTTCTACTACTGTTCCTGCTACTGCTACTACAGTGGTCAAATAATGTGATATACATTAAGATATTTATTAATAATTTACAATTCTATCTCTAAATTCCCTATAAACTAAAGTAGTTAACAACATATTGTTAGATAACAATTATACAATGTTCATGGAGTTCATGTTACCATATTCGAACAATGTGGTGTAAAAGTACAAGTCAGGGGAGACTCATTTTAGTGTGTACACCGAAGGGGAAACTCCTGCAGTGCCTGCCCTTGTAGCGTGTACACCGAAGGGGAAACTCCTGCAGTGACTGCCCTTGAAGTGTGTACACCGAAGGGGAAACTCCTGCAGTGCCTGCCCGTGTAGTGTGTACGCCGAAGGGGAAACTCCTGCAGTGTCTGCCCTTGTAGTGTGTACACCGAAGGGGAAACTCCTGCAGTGACTGCCCGTGTAGTGTGTACGCCGAAGGGGAAACTCCTGCAGTGCCTGCCCTTGTAGCGTTTACATCGAAGGAGAAACTCCTGCAGTGCCTGCCCTTGTAGTGTGTACACCGAAGGGGAAACTCCTGCAGTGCCTGCCCTTGTAGCGTGTACACCGAAGGGGAAACTCCTGCAGTGACTGCCCTTGAAGTGTGTACACCGAAGGGGAAACTCCTGCAGTGACAGCCCTGTCAACTTGTAAAATTCAGATGAGACGCCAAAACTAACTGGCTCGTTTACAACCAGAAGGAAACGCTTGCAGAGACTAACCTCAAGTTGTGGTAAAATAAGAGATATCAGCAGTGACACGATAACAGACATAAGAGGAATGGTAACACGTCGGTTAGACTGGATTCCAAACATCCACACGCAACGACATCGCCCCCGCCCGCCACCAACATTCTGTCAGCACCCACACCTCAGCCCCCAAACACGGACGCCCATACTGATAAATTTTAAAGATGCTTTGTGGCGTTGATGACTTTGGTACATAGCTCTACCATCTGTCATAATACTAATGGAATCATTATTCTTCTAAAGGCGATCTGTCAGTCCATTAGCCCATTATTCGTTGCAGGAATCATCATACACTTTAAAACTCCAAAAGCCACTGACCGAAGAGAGTAGGACTAACGAGCAAGTCCAATGACATAGCTACTGTGGTGTCGACGGTCTTTCGTGTGTCCGGCGGTGATCGGATTGCTATGAGTCGCGTAATTCCGGTGAGGAGCCACAGGCGGGCGGATATTCACCCTGGAAGCCGTATGCCCAGCCGAGAAGGGTTCCTCGGGGTGTACTCTCTTCGCCCCTACTGGAGGCTTCACGACCGGAAGCCCTGCGAAAGCGAAGCCTGCGGGGAAATCGTAGTCGTACTGGTGTGGGTAGTAGTAGTAGGGTGAAGTGTACCCTCCTGAGAGAGTATTTTGCGTCTGGTACTGGAACTGCTGCTGGGACGGCTGGGGCTGCGGCTCAGGCTGCGTTAAGACGTGTTGCTGCGTCTGCTTTTCGTATTGCTGTCGGAAACTCTGCTGCTGTTGCTCGAGATCTCTCTGCAAGGCTTCGAGCTTCTCTTGCTGAAGCCTTAGCTGTCGCCTTTGCTCTTCCAGCTGCTCCTGCTGCTGCTGAAACTGGAGTTGCTGTTCCTGCAAGAGAGCGCTTTGCTGTTGCTGCAGGGCCTGTTGCTGTACAGACTGGGGTTGCTGTGTCTGAGGAACGTTGACAGTATGGGTCGTTTGGTACTGCGTGTTAGGACTCAGAGGAGGCGGTACGTCGAACTCACTCGTGCCTTCAACTGCGCCGGTGAAGGCAGGTGTCCCATGCACTTGCGAGGCAGGTGTGTCGGGGCTGATGGGCAGGTCGTTTCCTAGTACTCTGAAGCCTTTCTCGTCGGCGATGTACGAACGAACCACCTGGCGATAAAGAGAAGAAACGCGTGACTGATTCCTCCTGTAACTCAAAATTGATGGGTTACGTTCCCATTTACTCATTTTTGCCCTTTATTGATAGGTTCATCACGAATAATTTGTTATTCTACTCAAGAGAGTTGATGTAGATAGTTTATCAGCTCAGAATTAAACAACTGTATCAGTGTATGAATAATATCAACAACCCTTTGTTCATATATGTGCAGATTCATGAAACTCAAAATAACAATTTATCATTAATTGCTGAGTTAATATCTTTAACCTGTAGCCGAAATCAACAATAACTTTATAATAATAATAATTCTCAGCACAGTAATCGCATTAGCAATTGTAATGATGATAATATGATAGCGTTGATCACAGTGATAGTGATGCTAAAGCTAATGATTATGATAAAGATAACGGTAATATCAATGATGAAAATTCGTATAGTGATAGTGAAAATTGTAGTAGTAGAAATAATAATAATGGTAGTGCTGATAATAACAATAATGATGACGACGATAATAATAAAAATAATAAGAATAACAACGATAACAATAATAATATTACTACTATTACTATTCCTGCCCTTAGTAGTGACAATAATGATGATTAAAATGATGAGAATAGTGGTTATGATGGTCATAATAATAATGATGATAAAAATATGGGTGATAGTAATAAGTAATATCGATGATAAAACAATAACAACTACTGTGATAATAATAATGATGATAATAATGATAATAAGTACATTAACAACGATGATAATAATAACAATAACAACAACAATAATAATAATAATAATAATAATAATAATAATATCAGCAATAATAATGATGATGATGATAATAATAATAGTAAAATAGATAAAATATATAAAATAGATAAAAGTAGTAGTAGTAGTAATGATAACAATAACAATAATGATAACAATAGATAATGATAATATCAGTGATGATGATAAAAGTACTGATAATAATCTTAATGATATTGATAATTATAATGATAATGATGACAATAATAATGATATTGATAGTAACGATAATGATAATTAAAATAATAATAATGATGATAACAATTATAATATTAGTAATAATGATAATAATAAAAATAATAATAACGATAATAAATGACAATAATGATATTAGTAATAATCAATAATAATATTAACAATAATAATAATAATGTGATGATAATAATGTGAATGATCATGAAATTTATAATATAAATAATAACAATAATAATGGTAATGATAAAAACAATCGTAATAATGATCGTAATTATAATAGAAATAATAACAAAAGCAATGACAATAATAATAACAACATTGATCATTATCACTAGCATTGCCATTACTACTATTGTAATAATAATTATTATCGTGATATAAATACTACTATTAGTAGTAATAACAATAATGATGATTATTAAGATAATAACAATAATGATGATGATACTAATAACAGTAATCACATAATTAATAATGATAATAATAATAACAATAATGATGATAATCATAATAATAATAAGAAAAAGAATGATAAAGAAGGTTATCATGGTGATAATGATAATGATAACAATGATGATGATGATGAATAACAATAATAATAATAAATTGTACTAATAACGTTATTTATAATAGAAGTAAAGCAATAATAATGGTGATGATGATAATAACCGTAATAATGATTATCATAATAGAAATAATAGTAATGATGATAATGATAACAGCAATAATCATTATCATTAGCATTACCATTATCGTTACTATTGTAATAATAATTATCATTCTAATACAAATTATACTACTGTTATCAGTAATAACAATAATGATAATAATGATTATGAGGAAATTGACATTATTAACAATAATAATATCATTAGTAATAATAATAATAGTGATGATGATGATGATGATGATGATGATGATAATGATATTAACAATGCAATAATTTTGATAATAACAATAACAATGATAAGGGTGATGCTAATAATATTAATGGAGATAATGATAATGATCATAATAAGAATATTAATAATGATGATAATACTATGATTGATAACAATAACAATTATAATGATAATAATAATATCATCAGTGATAATAATAGCAGTATTAAAAATAGTAATGATAATAATAATGATGATAATAACAAAGCAACAGAAACAACAAAGGATACTAAAATAATAATGATAATATTAATAATATTGATAACAACTATGATAATGATGACGATGATAATAATGGTACTAGCAATAGTAATAACAATAATAATCATCACCATTTCAATCATCTTTTTTATTAGTCTATTATCATTATTTTCATTATTATTATCAATTTAGTAAGGATATTAATAGAAATCATAATAATACCTCTACTAATCATCATCATCATCATCATAAAGGTAGCAAAAGAGAAAGAAGGGAGGGAGATCGAACGCCACCCAGTCTGGCCTCGCGCACAGCCTCACCTGTTTGCCGTTGGGGTCGAAGTACCTGTAGGAGCCGACGACCGTTCCCGAGGGCTGACGAACCTCCACCTTCGCGATGCCGTCCCCTGTGTTGTAGCCGTAGTTGTAGGGTCCGCCGGCCCTCGCCACGGCGTACGCCCCTCGCTCTTGGGGCGCCGCTGCGTACACCACGCCCCCAGAACCTACTCGGTTCAGCTGACCAGCCGCCGCCGCCGTGCTCCGCCCCAGCACGTGGCAGAGGGCGGTTAGTAAGATGACCTGGTGGGGAGAGGGTACGGAGGGGTAATGATAATAATAATAATACTTTTGGGTGTCGGGGAACTGCGGAAAGCGGTTAGAAATTATGGTATTTGTGTTGATAATTATGGTGGTCAATATTTGATGTAATTCGTCCAAAGATACGGAAGAAATGTGTGTATGGCAGTGGTTCTTAACCTTTTTACTATCACGCCCCCTTCATTAACTTTATTTATTTATATTGTTCTTCCCTCCACGCCCCCCCTTTTGCATCTATAAATAAAATTCCCTCCCCGATTGAAAAAAAAATGTTCTTAGGCTCTTTATTGAGTATGGTTATATTGTTATTCCATTTCTCATTATATGATCACGCTATCGTTAAGAGAATAAAAAATATAATCGGAGAAATTCCTGTTTTTTCTCTAGGGCTCGCGACCCCCTTGGAAATTACTGACGCCCCCCAAATGAAGACCAACTGGTCTATGACCTTTTCTAACATAGAAGATGGTGTCTAACGCTTGAGTAAATTGGTAATCAGAACTGACTGTGGTGTTTACAAATGACTATTTCTTAAACTTGACAACGCTACGCTTAATTCTATAGCTTTTGCATCTAATTCCTTAAAGAGCCAACTTTTGATGGACTCATCCGATTGCTTGTCCGCCCACGCCGCTGCAACACACGCACGATCTCCCCGATTAAAGCCGAGCAGCACGTACAGCCAAGTGACACCCAGGCGGATGCGAACCAGTTGCGTTGCGCGTGGAATCGTCTGCGACTGATAAGCTCTCCGTGGCTGATGGCAGTTCCCCGGAGCCATCATGAATAACCTCAGCCAACGCCTTCTGCCACAAGGTCGCAAGGCTTCTATAAACGTCGTGGCAAATAGTGACTGTGACTCCTGCACCGGGTTGCCATAAGAGCTAATTGCCATAAGGGACAGCCTAAGGAGGACGTTACACGGCATGTACACGAAGAAAAGTGCGTGGGCATTTATAGGCAGGGCAAGGCAGGGCGGCGGCCGGATCCTATCCCAAGGCCGTCCCTCGTCGCCGTTCATACATACCCATCTGCTACCCGTCAGCGCCCTTCGACCTTCTCCTATAACCAAGGCAATAAAAACACCGACTCTACTCCTACCGATATTTATACCTCGACCTCGTTTCCTTCCTTTGACCCCTTCCCCAAAGCGACAAAGGACGGCGCGGGGGTCAAAACCGAGACGCGATGAACACCCATCGCCGTCCGAAACCAGATCGAGGAGTCCTCCCCGATCTCCTTATTTGGCCAACCGCGGCTCCTCCCTCTCGGGTTCACTGCGTCACCAGGTGCTCTCGGCGGGATAGACACAAGATCACAGTGTTTTGTCCTTTGTTATAGAACGACGGAGGGTCTGTGGTAACCGACGGCATGTTCAGTTGCTTGATATCTCCGCATTAATGCTTGGTTCACAGCAAAATAAAAAAAGACAACCATATTTTGGGAGAGATGCTGGTGAACCTAATAATTAGTGTGGGCGGGTGTAGGTGTCTTTTTTCTCTTTCTGATTAATCCATGTACGTTTATGTGAATCTGGTTTGTATGCGCCATGCAATGCCTGTACAAGTATGGTTAATTGCACGTGTCAATGACCGAGTGTGTGTGTGCATTTGTATTTGTATGAGTTGAATTTTGTGTATGTTTATATTTAAGAGTGCGTGTGTACGTGTGTGTACGTATATGCGTGTGCACGTAATATTACGCGTGGGTGTATGTGTGTGTGTATGTGTATGTGTGTGCGTACCAGTGTGTCTGGTATATGTACTAGTGTCTATGAACGCGCACAAGTGCCTATGTAAATGTAAATATACATCTACATCTACAATCTTCCCATTGGCTGCTTGTGTATACGCCTGTCGTTGCATACACGTCTCCACATTCACACAAAAACATCGTTGAGGGTCATGTCGGCCATCCTTGTTTGGGGATCGATATCAAGGTCATGGCATTTCTAGCTCACAACACGCATATAAATACTCGATAGTAAATAGTAAATTGATGTCATAGGTTTTGAATGGTATTTGTCGTCTGAATTCTGGAATTACGCATAATCGTTTGCGTTAATCAGATACGGATTGTGATTTTTTTTTTACATGAGGAGTGGGGAGCTTTGGGAATTACGAATCACAAAATCAAAACAAAGGAACATTTCATGATATTTCTAACAGGTATCACACTGTAATGACACAAGTATACGCAATATAAATAAAGTCAATGAAGCCATAAGCGTCTATTTATTACTACGCAAAATCCTCAGACAGACATATACGCGAAGAAAAAAAATGTATACCTACACAAACCAACCAAATAAACAGCGCAATTACAAAAATCTCCTTCTAAAGATAACAGACAAATAATCCCAAAACCATAACCAGGTCCTTATCAACTCGATATAATCACACAAAAGATAAAGGTAATTAGGAACCCAAATTATACAAGCGATGCACTTACCCGAGTGTTCATGGCGGTGTCGCGTGGCGGAGTGTGGCGGGAGAGAAGGATCTTGGCTGCCTTATAACACACGCCCACGCACCCACGGCCCTCGACCCTCGCCCTTCACGTACAAACCTCGCAAAGATGATAAGATCCTTTGGGGGGTCTACTCTGGCACACTATTTTTGTTTCCGAATGATTTGTTTTCGAGTTCTCTTTCATTTGCGTTTGTTTATTTGAGTTCATTTTGTTTTTTTGTTATTTTTCGTTTTCTGTTGATCTGGATTCATGTTGTAAATAAAAGGTTGAATAAATTCCGATGGGGAAACACAATATGATATCCGGTATTATAGAAAACTTCATTATTTATCAACATACCCATGCAGTAGCGCAGACAGGCCTTCCTCCCACACACACTTCTGATACTAACACACCTGCTACGAAGGATTTACGTGTACAGACAACTTCAAACGCAACATTGGAGTATTACATGACAT